CAGCCACACGTCGCTGGAGATCGTCGTTAAGAGCTTTTGTTGACCCTTTTTTATCCCATATTAATCCAACGCAACTGTTCAAGTTCTGGGCGAATCTGAAGGAATCATGTTTATTTTAGTCTTAAGTTGACAATTAACTAGTTCCTGCATATTTTACTGGATTTTAGGGCAAGCTTTTTAACATGGTGGATATATTATCGGAGAGAGACTAGTCAAGGTCGGAAAAGAACTTGTAATTGAAGGACTCGCTGGCGTCGTTGAAGCGCCTCTGTCTGTCCATCTCATGCACCAGCTGCAGATCTTCGGCTTTGAGCTCAAAGTCAGCCTGGAAGTTGTCCTTGATGCGCTGCTCCGTCTTTGACTTGACCAGCACCGAGTGACCTTCATTGATACCCCATGCTACCCAGCCCGTTAGTTGATCAACTCCATTTAATTGAAAGTGCGTCAGATCACCACTTACCAAGAGCAACTTGAGCAGGGGACTTGTTGTACTTCTTGCCAATGGCCGTGAGGGCAGGGGCCTCGAGCAACTTGCCGTCCTGCTTGTATGTCTCGTTCTGATTACCTAGAGACGAGTAGTGTGTGATGTGGATACCCTTGGTCTTCAGGAAGGTGACAAAAGACGGCTGCTGGAGCCAAGGGTGCAGCTCGAGCTGGTGGACGGCTGGCACGATGCTGGTGTTTTCAAGCAGCCTCTCGGTCTCTGCCTTGGAGAAGTTGGATATACCAATGGCTTTGGTCTTACCGGCCATGGCCAACTTCTCCATCGCCTTGTAGGTCTGTGGACATCAGGTATTAATAATTTTACGAATTCACGGACAAATGAATGAGGTACAAGGACGTACGTCTACATAGTCGATATCGACCACCTTCATCTTGCCGGAGCTGTCTTTGGGGAAGGCCTCGTCTCCTGGTGCAAAGGCGACGGGCCAGTGCATCAGATATAGATCGAGATAGCTGATGCCGAGGTTCTTCAAGCTGTCGTCAAGTGCCTTCTCGACGTCTTCAGGCTTGTGCTTGTTGTTCCACAGCTTGCTGGTGATGAAAAGCTCTTCTCGGGGGATGCCGGACTTCTTGATGGCTTTGCCAACTGCAGCCTCTGTGCCATATCTACCATTGATATCAGGTATTAGCTATCAATTACTCTGCTCTTCTCGATGAAGGGGAAGAATAACACACATGGCAGCGGTGTCTATATGACGGTATCCTGCCTGCAGTGCGGCCAGGACGGCCCCCTCCTGCGCTTGTTCATCCTGCCAGGTCCCAAATCCGATGGCTGGGATCTCGGCGCCTGTGTTCAGCTTGAATTTAGTATTGCGAGGAGGCATGATGGCGGTAACTTCACTCAACAACAGTACCGTTCAAATAATTAGATGTGACGACCGGTGATTGATCGAGTCGACATCTCTTCCATCGAC